ACGAATTTCTGATTATTCCAGGCCTATCAGCCTTGAACAGACAACGTGCTATCTCAGGGCTAGTACTAGAGTGCCACCAAGATTTAGCCGAAGCCTCGGTAGATAATAACATTATCCTGAGGTGGATCAAAGGGCACGACAGGAGTAAAGGTAATCGCATTGCCGACTCTCCAGCCAAGTAAGCGGCTGAACTAAGAATTTTAGGACCCAGTGGCACCTACTTCGACTTCGACAATTGCGGAACCAGTCAAATGTTACACCCATGCTCAATCCCTACAGAGATGGGATGATATCAAAGATGCAATCTTGCAGGATCACCCTGGGCGACTCTGAGAAGCTGGCACCGAAGAAATATCTGGCGATGACCAGGAAAAATCTACGCTCAATAGTAGGATTTCTGACTGGCCACTGTCAACTAAGGAAACACCTCCATAATATGGGGCTAGTGGATACAGAAGGAAACTACGTTGGAAAATGAAAAAAATCTGAAAAAATGCCTTGTTTCTTTGTTAGGTCGGAAACTATTCAGACACCCCCGTATATAGACCTTCATTTAAATAGACATTCTAATGTCCAAAAATGAAAGTGAATATTATTGTGTATATAATCACATATAACAATTGAAATCAATCTATAATATAAGGAAAACCGCTAGAGAGAGGAAGTGGAAAAAGCATGTCACAAAAAGTGATTTAGAAAAAATGATGGAATACTAACTATTTATCTATCGCCCCTCGTATATAGTTCGTCAGGAAACGCAGGAAATTGTTGGAGAGAATTCATTTCACAAATACCAAACTCCTCCGAACTAGTATGCTGTTTTGAAAGTTTTTTACTTTTTTATGATATTCAATCAAAATAAGCGTCACACGGTTCAATGCATTTTTGCCAGCATAGCACAGGTCGATTAATTTGGTCAGCATACAAGTTATGTGCTCGGGATTCGATGAATTCGATGAAGGCCGTTTTTGCCTGGTCCTGATTGGCGGAAGTTCTACCGGTGAGGAAGTGTTTGAAAATACGGTTGTGAGTCTAGGACGTATGGTGGGTAAGGGCTCAATTCGGTAAATTTTAGGTCGGTGATTTGTGAAACGTTCTGATGGGCGTTGTCCAACCACTGTCCTGAACGTCAGACATTCAGGACATTTTGGATGCGCAAAAACGAATGATAACCGACATCGAGACGTGACAATTTCTTTTGATCGTTCAAATAATAAGGCACCTACTTTTCAAACTTTTCGCCCTTTCCAATATATTTTTAACTATTAAAAACTGCTAGGAAGCTGATGCCCAGTTCTTTCGCCATTCCACGTATCGTTTGTCACCAGGATCCTCAAATCCTTGTCCTGGATTTGAAAGGAAATGAACAATGTCAGTGTATAGAGTATTGAATTCTCTATCGATCAGTACATACCATGACACAGCCGAATAAATATTTATTGGGATATGGGCTACAAAAACGCAGGATATTAAAACGGACGAAACTTTTTAACAACCCAATTTTATAACCGACACATTCACCATTTATCAAATTGCTAGTCTAAGTAGGCGGGTCTTTACGTTTCTGTTATACGGCGCAATTCATTAACTGAACTAAATTGTGACAATGAAATTGAAATATCCCATGTTCACTCACATAAAATATCAAATACCTTTCAGTGCTGCCAGGAAAATACAGGGTGTAACTGAATAAGTGTAAAACATTCAAGGAGGTGATTCCTCATCGAAAATAAGATAGGATCTTTCATATAAAGGAACTCCATTGAAGCATCCCTTGTTAAGATACAGCCCCTTAAAGAGGGTACATAAAATTTGTATTTTTTTTTCACAAGCACTGAAAAAGTTACAATATCGAAATTAACCTGACGTTTTGTACTACCAAAAAGACACTTAGCCACTAATTTATTTGGTTTACCCCATGGTTGTAAGGGGTGGAAAACGCAACCCCTAAAATTAATTTCCATTGTAACTTTTTGTCTTATTGTTTGTTTACTATTTAAAAATTCATTTCCTATAGCCTGTTTCATTCTAAACAAAAAATCTCTCTTGGGTTTTTTTCCCAAAATAAACCAGTTCGCAGCAAAAAATTATTTTACGAACAACTACAGAGATACATCGTCATAAATGCGAACTGGATTTATTGTTATTTTGTAGTTAGTACCTGCATTAAACGATTAAAGGTTAATAAACAAAACTAATTTATCAATAACTAAACAAAACATGTAGGAATCATAGTAAATGTTCAATATGTCTATCTTCAGACATTACGCATGCGTCTAGACGTCGGCGCATTGAGCCACGTATTCGCTCAAATATTCCTGGAGTCTCTCTGATTACCCTGCACGCATCGATGATGCGGTTTCTTAAGTCATCTACATCGCGAATAGGAGTACTACCTACCTGCTGTAAATGGCCCCAAATAGAGAAATCAAGATGATTGAGATCCGGGGATCGAGCGGGCCAGTTCTGTGGTTATCCTTGACCTATTCACTGAGTTTGCATATGTTTTAGTTAAATGCTGACGTGCTACTTGACTAAAATGGGCGGGAGCCCCATCATGCATAGAAAGCATATCACTTCTGATGCCCAAAGGAACTTCCTTCAGCAATACTGGATGCCTTTCTCTTAAAAATTGAACATATGTCTCACCATTATTTAATCGAGGAGGTAGAAAATGAGGCCCAATTGAGTTAATCATGCCCAATAACTCCGAGCCACACGTTAAGAGAAAACTGTTCTTGATGGTTAGTTTCGACAATAGCGTGAGGGTTTTCATCAGCCCATATATGGTAATAAATGTTTTACACTTATTTAGTTACACCCTGGATACGTGGGTCGTTGAAAAAGTGCAAAAGAGCAAAATTAATGTTTCTCAACAATGTCCAAATAATTCTGAGTAACTTTAAGATTAGTAACTGCCCTTATGACAACCAACTGCTCACTGAAATATCAAGAAGACAAGTTTTATTTCCCAAGACATTACATGTATGAATATATAATATGGTCATACGGAAGTTTGCAAAAGCATCATATTGAAACTGAATAATATTCTAAAACAATATCAATATTTCTTCCCATTTCTTTACTTGATGGTGGAATCTATTGAAGAGAGATAATAGTACGCTTTAGTCTGTAGAAGTAGAAGAATTAGGTAATTTTTTAATAATTTTGACTCCCTTGTATAATGGCCCTTTTCGATTCACTTCATAATTGATTGATGGTATCAAGAAAGTGTCCTTGGTACTAGTGTTGTGATTGTGGATGTCAGACAATTTTGAGAAATTTCGTTTTCTTTTGAAAGCAGCTACGCCTATTTTGAATATGTGCATATTGCCCTACGTAAATATTTTCAAATTGAGGAAATTTTCTTTACATGAATCTGATCTTCGGAGCCTCAAAAGAACACGAATAGCTCTCTTCTGTAAAATAAATGTTGAATTGCTGTCGACAGAAACTCCCCAAAATTCGACATCATACTAGACTGTAATCTGGAAATAACTGTATTATACAGTCTTTGCAACGTTGAAAACCACTTAATTTTTTAATTTCTTCAGTTCAGACTTCCATTGTCGAATATGATATGAATTGATTTGAAATCCCTGAAAGAATCTGTAAAAAATTAATAAAGATTAGCTGAAAATTAACAATTATATTGGGCAAAAAAAACTGGTTACAATGAAACAAGCAACAACCAAGAAATCAAAAAAATTGCACTATTAACACGAGATAAAATAAGAAATGAAAAATAAAAATTAAAGGATTCCAAACCAAGTTACTTCACGACGTTTCGATTATTAGTATCCACAATCGTCTTCGGGTGATAACTGGACTTATTCCTCCGAGATCTGACTATTTATAGGTCATTCGAGTGCTTTTACCTATCCCCTCTTTCCTCTCTCCGCTTCATCGGTTTCAGCGGGAGCTGACCGTTTAGCGGGAGTTGGTCGTGTTCCGCTTGATTGAAGATTTCCATATGCTGCGTATCTCTACGCTAGCTTAGCTAAATGCGTTGTTGGACAACATATATGCAGCTTCTTTGAATTTTCTCCTTAACCAGTGTTCTTCCTTGTGGATGATTTCAGCTGGAGCCCACTTGATGTTATGTTGATGAGTCCAAAAATGCTCTGCAATTCCTGATTTGCCGGTTTCTCCTCGCTGTGTGTGTTTCTTGTGCTCCGCAATGCAAACTTTCAATATCCTCTTCGTTTCACCGATGTATGATTCCCCGCACTCGCAGAATATCCGGTAAATGCAATGCTTGGAATCGCAGTCTGTGTTTGGTAGCCTGGTTTCCGTGAGGCTGCTACGGATATTGTTCCAGATCTGAAGCAGGTCCTGATGTTGTACTTGGACCCAATCCTTCTTATCCTCTCCGATAATCCTATGATGTGGAAGTGCAAGTACTGGTTGTGGTGGCTTCTCTTCCTTGTGGAGCTCTTGCTGTCTTATAGCTAAAGCCTGTTCCACAATTACTTTTGAGTAATCATAGTTTTTTTTTCGAGACCTTCGAGACTTCATTTTTTATATTTTTCATCGCATATATGGCGCTGACAGATTTTTATTCATCGCTGTTACATGTATCCTACAATCTAACTTCTCTTTTTGGATCCTAAGAATTTGGCTTCTGTAGTTGGCTTCAATATTCCATTTTTGTAAAAATTTCAGACACTTTCGTAAACTGCTGAACACTTCGCGAATGCCAAGCTCTTGTCCCCGTACTCATGTCTTCTGACTTGTTATATGAGTTAAGTCTGTAGTCTGATACCATGCAAGGTGCACATAATGTTAGTAGTGATGTTGGCAATGCTGTCCAAGATAGACTAGATCGAGAACCACGAATGTAAGGTGCCTGGTGTTGACAACTCAATATGAAGGCACACAAGCAGTCCCTATCATCAATATGTAACATAGCTCATTCGCCTCCCGTTATTTTTGGTAATTTCCTCAACTTCTGCAGTGTTTGTTTGTCCATAACTAGACGTTTTCCATTTTTGTTGCAGTGTGGCCGTCGTCAGACGAGATGGGAAGTGAGCACTACTGCCTGAGGTGGAACAATCATCAGAGCAACCTTCTCGGCGTTTTCAGTCAGTTACTGAGGGACGAAAGTCTAGTGGACGTAACTCTGGCCTGCTCGGAGGGCCATTCTATTAGAGCTCACAAAGTAGTGCTTTCCGCTTGCTCTTCCTATTTCCAAACACTTTTCGTAGACCACCCCAGCAGACATCCCATCGTTATCCTCAAAGACGTGAGGTTCGCTGAGCTGAGAACCCTCATTGAGTTTATGTACAAAGGGGAGGTGAACGTGGAGTATTGCCAGTTATCCGCTTTACTGAAAACGGCTGAAAGTCTGAAAGTCAAGGGTGAGTATTTTTTTGTATCATGCTATTATCTCTTTTAGTTGAGAGAGTTTTTTCCCAACACAAACCGTTATTTCAACACCTCGACACGTGTTTAGATCACCAAGTGATCATTCTCAAAAGGAAGATTATTCTTCCTCTTGAAGATGTTCACTTCCTCTTCCAATGGCTACAGAAAAACGACCTCTGCGTTAGCACATGGCAAGGCAAAAATATTCGAGTTCAGTAATAAAGCCTTCAAAGTTTAAGAAGATAAAATTCAGTTTAACGTTGCTTCAAGAGAAATATGATCACTCCAGTAATATTTAGTAGTTTCTAATTTATTTTCTTTACAGAACACTGGAAATGCAAATAATTCAAAACGTTTGCAAGAAATAAGTGTTTCCTTGAATCCTACATTCATTTCTTCATGTTCTTGGGACAAAATATAGTTTGATAGCATATATTGTGTTATTCAAATGTCTATGCTGCATTCATTGACAACCAAAATTACCTCTTTCATCCGTAGCTTCTTATCAAGTATTGCATGTACAAAAAAAATATTACAATTTTTTTTTTACAAAATGGGGTTATATTTACTCTCTGAGTAAAACATACCTAGGCATGATTGCCTATGTGTGTGTTTTATCCAGAGCTTCTCTAAAAAAACTATCAGTATTGTACATAAAATTATCTTGAAAATTTTGGCCGGCAAAGATTTACAAGATTAAAAAAAAATAAGGAAGGTAATCAACTCTTATATAAAGCATACCTTCATAACACCTGTATATTTAATGTGTGCACGTATTTCTCCCAAACTTCTGAAAGACTTCTGAAAGACATTCACTATCGTTGTATTTTGTAGAAAGTTTCCTAGTTTTTCGGGATATAGTGAGTATTCAGTTGTGTGAATTCGAATTATACATTGATGAACATACAAAAGACTGATTGGTAGGATTTTTGTTTCTTCATATAATAATTTTGTGGAATACTGTTTCTTTTTTCTCAGTATGATTTTTATGATGGAATTTTGTATGATATGTAGAGGACGTAAGTTGTTAACGAAGGCTCCTCCCAATATTATAATACTGTATCTTAGAATAGATTCTACTAGGGAAGTATAAAGCATTAGTAGGTTTTTGCGTGAGAGGATATCTCTCAAAGTGCAAAATCTATGCAGTAATGCTCTCAGTCGTTTATTTAAATTCGATATGTGCTCGGTCCAGCGAATGTGCTTATCCAGAGTCACTGGATCATCATGGATGATACTCGATCTATTTCTGGGCAGGTACATGTATTTGTGTCCGTGCAAATTGTTTTGTGAAGGTTTATAGAATAATCTGTAGTGGGTTGTGTATTAACCATAGGTGTTAAAGGTATGAATTTACTTCCAGAGACATTCAGGGTGAGTAGGTTATGGTCCAGACAAATTTGCAAATTTCTTAGATCTGCTTCTGTGGTTGATTTTATTTCTTTCCAGCTTGTGCCTGTGAATATCAGAACTGTGNTTTGTCTGATAGTATTCATTTTTAGTTTTTCTAATCAATTGATTGAGTCTATTTCTGTGGTTTTTATATTTGATCTCTAAATCCTGTGAGTATTTTTTAATTAGTTGATGTTCAAGATAATCTCTTTGTTTGATTGATGTAATTATTCCACAGGTGATCCATGGTTTGATTTTCTTTATTTTATGTAGGTATTTTTTTAATTTCAGTTGCATTATCTATGTTAGTTTTTAGTTTGTCGATGAAACAGTTGTAAGCTTGTTGTGTTTTGTTTTTATTTAGAATATCCTCCCAATTTTGATTGCTCAATAAGTTATCTAATTTTTGTAGATTTAGGTGATTGATAGTTCCTCATAAACTTTTATTTTGTCACAGGTCTTGCCGAAATGACTAGAGAATACAAACCTCTACCAGAACAGCTGGAACCCAAAGAACTCACCACCCGAAGAGCGGTGACTCCCGATGAAATGGAAGAATCTCAACATTCCCCTTCTTCGGTTCAGAATTTAAGGATATGCAAATCCCCGTTAGAACGAGACAGAGATCGCGACCGGGACAGAGAGCGGGACAGAGAACGGGACAAAGTGAAAGATGAGAAGAGATCTCCGTCTGTAGAAAATACTCCTCTCCCCGCGTCTAGTGATTGTGGTGCTAGTGATATGACCATTCACAATAGTAATAATTTAGCTGCAACATGTTCCTCAATTAGTCAACCTCCTATTTGTAGTAGGCTACCGTCGCCTTTGAACTGTGAACCTCTTCCTGGTCCTTCGAATTTGCCTCCAGTTCAGCAAGTGCCTCTGGTAAGTGCCGAATAGGACAGACATGATTTAACGTATTTCTGTTAGAAAATCTGTATCTTAATACGTAATTATGGTTAATAATTTAATCTTATAATTGGAGTTTTGAAGTGTCTACATGAAAGAATGGTACTGGATATAGCCTGTAAAGTTGTCAGGAGTTCGGATCCCCTTCTCTGCATGATCCGTGACCATGAGAGAGCAGGAATTGGAGCATTTCTCTTTAGGGCAGCTGCTCGAGCAGCTGATGAACTCGGTTTAGTTTTCAACACTGAACGAGGTGACCACAACTTTGTCACCGAGTTGGAATCCGTTCAGCAAAAATCTCATTTAAAAGCCGCAGAGATCAGAGCAAGACGATATTTGTCATGGAGTTTCCAGCTCCTGGAGAGACGAATATCGTGCGAAAAGAGGAGGAAAAACGGATAAAATATCGTGATTTTCTCTTCGAACACCGCAGACTCTATCCAGATCACTCTGTCAAGATGGTTGTTTTGATTATTGGAGTCTTTGGTGGAATGATGTCCTCTCTACTCTCAGAAATCTCAGAAATCTCAGCCGGACAGATGCAGAAGGCTGTCATTTTTGACTCACTGCGCTTGCTCAGGGCACATGATTCTCGGACCCAATGATCACTTACCCCACGGTGTGAGGAGTGGTCGTTGGTTGATAATGCTGGCGGGCCTTCCCGAATATATCGGGGCTTCCGGGGATAGGGCCTGACCAGCGCATACTACAGTAAAAAAATAATAATTCATTTCCCAAGAGACAAAATACTGAATTGGAATAGTCAAGTCTAGGAAAAAAAGATACAATACTCGTCGTAATGACTCTAAAGCTGGGGCCGCATTGCAGGAAGGTTGGTAGGATGGTGGATGGTAGATAGCTGCCTGGCGAACCTCCTGCTATTTATAAACGTGAGTAACAGAACGACGGTAGCCGCAGTGGCCCCCCACTACTATCTAAACTCCAGAAACCATCCGAAGGTACGCCATGCGTCTATCCAACCTAATCAGTCGTGTTTGATATTCCAGCTGGGTAGCCTAGCTATGGAAGAAAGCGTAATAAGTTCTGTGTACAAAAGAAGGGCAATTTGGGACATAGCAGACCCATTATGAAAAAAATTGCACTTCTGGAAAAAGAAATCAGCTCTGAAGAAGATCCGGATTTGTGTTTCTTCAAGAGTTTACTTCCATATATGTGGGAATTAATCCCAGGTCATAGGCTGAGTCCGTGGAAAAATTCAAGACTTTATGGATATTACTGGAGTTTTTTCCCAAAACCAAATCGTTATTTTCAATACCTCGACACGTGTTTCGTTCACCAAGTGATCATCTTCAAAGAGGAAGATTTCAGTTTTAATCTTCCTCTTTGAAAATGATCACTTAGTGATCGAAACACGTATCGAGGTGTTAAAAATAACGATTTGGTGTTGGGAAAAAAACTCCAGTAATATTCATTACCACACCAAAGGTTCCAGACAGTGCATCATAAGTCAAGACCTTATCTTGAATGAATAAGGAAAAATAAATTTGTCTGTGGGAGTCCCTCAATTTGGCCACGAGTATGATAACCGTACCCAGTACTCATCATTGTCAAATTCTACTGATGTTTCATGCTTTTCGATGGAACAACAATCATTAGATTCGAATGGTGAAACATCTGCAACTCAACAGCAAGATCCTTTTTTTCATAATATGTAACTCTTTTTATCAACGTTTATGTTCTAATGTTTAGTTTCAATGATTTTGTTTATTTATTGAAGAGAAACATGATTGTTACTTTTCCGCTGTCTGTTAGATATTGGCTTCATTTCACTGCGTCCAGGATGCATTGCCCCTCCACCAACCACCTTTACCATGGGCTAATGGTCATTGTGAATTTTGGCGAAAGACTTTTTTCTAGGAAATGGTGGAGCCCTTTGGCAAGCATTACTAGTTCATTCACCAAATAACACAGTTTCATGAATAGGAGTTAACCTCAGTCTTCATATGACTATAAACAACTATGTACGTGTATATGAAATATTGATATGTTGAAGTCATAAGTTTTATCTCATCATAGAAGTATACGCTACTGAAAGAATGACTGACTCAATTTTTCATATGATAGAAAAGTATATTGATGATATCAATGATGCAGTAACTAGAGGTGATCAAGCCTGAAGACGCTACTGTACAACTTTTTCAGGCTTGTCCACCTAATTCAGGCATTAGCTGCGCAGCTAATGCAGCGCAGAAATTTGAAATAAAACCACCAGGCACCTTTGCAACGTCTTCCGTTTGAAAGATTCGTCCTGGTAATGAGAAGCTGGAATTAATAACATCTGCACGGGATGACTACTGATAGTCCGATTCCGGAGTACTAGCTCCTTGTCAGTGCCGGGTGGGCCATTTCAAACTGAGTGAACCATCTGAATATCCCGAACAATCAAAATCAATTTCAATTGGTCATAAGCTCTGCCTGCAGTCTTTGTCGAATGGAACTTGTAGCACCAGACGTTTTGTTAGTGTGGCATACATCTTCAGTGGCTTAGTGTGAGGTACGAAAGTCTCTCGAAGCCTCAGCAACGACTGACTGGGGAGCTTCGTGTTAACTCGTATTAATCCTTTTAAGCGGTGGGGATGAGGTGTCCATGGGATTGCTCAGTCCTGATTGGTTTGCATTTGTTCTAGGTTACTCTAGTTGGTCTACGTTGTTGACCGGTGATGAAATGTCAATCGGAGTTGTATTTCAGTCAATGTATTCTCAAGTACTGGATACCATTATTTGCGTGCTCAACACCACGATATTAAAAAAAGTCTCAACATCACCCTCATTTTCGATCGACTATAACGATTTCTTCTGCCGACACTATTAACCATAAACCAAACGTGGCATAGCTGAGAGCGTGGGAATATCCAATGTTACCTGCCACTCGAGAAGCAGCAAGAAACATGCTACCGATGTCGATGGAACTTCGGCGAAAATTCTACGATGTTCCATAGCGATATTTAAACGCTATTTTAGTTGAAGTGTTTGTTGTATTCAAAGTGAAATAAAGTTAAGTTTGATTATACAGTGTAGTCACACGTGGTGAACCCACGGGTAAAAATGCAACAGTAGGATCGCAATTCATCCGTTCCAACGTTTATTCAGCGACCCTTGTGCTATTGAGTTCAGGTCTTTTGGCACTAGTCTAGCAGCTACGCGTTCAATAACTAAAAAATCGTTTTGGATAGTAAGAACTAATTAGTGAGACGTACAAATTCCAGCGGCTATCTTTCTCAGACTAAAACGATGATTTTCAGTCACCATTTTCTTTACCTCAGCGATGTCATGTTCAGTTGAAAATATTGATGGCCGACCCGAGCGAGACAAATCTTCCACCATTTCTCGACCGTTTCGTAAATGTACTGGTTAAGTTTTACTTTATTGTAATATAATTTCATTTGGAACTGAAATAACAACTTGTTTCAGTTCTTGATTATAATCGTCAACTCATTGAGTTTATNATACGTGGGTCGTTGAAAAAGTACAAAAGAGCAAAATTAATGTTTCTCAACAATGTCCAAACAATTCTTGAGTAACTTTAAGATAAGTAACTGCCCTTATTACGACCCGCTGCTCACTGAAATATCAAGACAAGACAAGTTTTATCTCCCAAGACATTACATGTATGAATATGTATATAATATGGTCATACAGAAGTTTGCAAAAACATCATATTGACACTGAATAATATTCTAAAAGAATATCAATATTAACGTATTCCAGAAACACTTTATTGTGAGATTTTCACTAAATTGTTTTACAAAAACGCAACACGTGTTTCGCCATACAATGGCTTCATCTGGCGTGTCTTTGAAAGACACGCCAGATGTCTCTCTGATCAAGCGTGTTCCGCTTGATGAGAGATTTCCATATGCTGCGTATCTCTACGCTAGCTTAGCTAAATGCGTTGTTGGACAACATATATGCGGCTTCTTTGAATTTTCTCCTTAACCAGTGTTCTTCCTTGTGGATTATTTCAGCTGGAGCCCACTTGATGTTATGTTGATGAGTCCAAAAATCCTCTGCAATTCCTGATTGGCCGGTTTCTCCTCGCTGTGTGTGTTTCTTGTGCTTCGCAATGCAAACTTTCAATATCCTCTTCGTTTCACCGATGTATGATTCCCCGCACTCGCAGAATATCCGGTAAATGCAATTCTTGGAATCGCAGTCTGTGTTTGGTAGCCTGGTTTCCGTGAGGCTGCTACGGAAATTGTTCCAGATCTGAAGCAGGTCCTGATGTTGTACTTGGACCCAATCCTTCTTATCCTCTCCGATAATCCTATGATGTGGAAGTGCAAGTACTGGTTGTGGCGGCTTCTCTTCCTTGTGGAGCTCTTGCTGTCTTATAGCTAAAGCCTGTTCCACAATTACTTTTGAGTAATCATTCCGTTGAAGACCATTGCTAATGATGCCTAGTTTTTTTTCGAGACCTTCGAGACTTCATTTTTTATATTTTTCATCGCATATATGGCGCTGACAGATTTTTATTCATCGCTGATACATGTATCCTACAATCTAACTTCTCATTTTGAATTCTAAAAATTTGGATTCTGAAGTTGGCTTCAATATTCCATTTTTGTAAAAATTTCAGACACTTTCGTAAACTGCTGAACACTTCGCGAATATCAAGCTCTTGTCCCCGTACTCATGTCTTCTGACTTGTTATATGAGTTAAGTCTGTAGTCTGATACCATACAATAGTGCGCATAATGTTAGTAGTGATGTTGGCAATGCTGTCCAAGATAGACTAGATCGAGAACCACGAATGTAAGGTGACTGATGTTGACAACTTAATTAATCAATATGAAGGCACACAAGTAGTACCTATCATCAATATGTAACATAGCTCATTTGCCTCCCGTTATTTTCGGTAATTTCCTCTACTTCTGCAGTGTTTGTTTGTCCATAACTAGACGTTTTCCATTTTTGTTGCAGTGTGGCCGTCGTCAGGCGAGATGGGAAGTGAGCACTACTGCCTGAGGTGGAACAATCATCAGAGCAACCTTCTCGGCGTTTTCAGTCAGTTACTGAGGGACGAAAGTCTAGTGGACGTAACTCTGGCCTGCTCGGAGGGCCATTCTATTAGAGCTCACAAAGTAGTGCTTTCCGCTTGCTCTTCCTATTTCCAAACACTTTTCGTAGACCACCCCAGCAGACATCCCATTGTTATCCTCAAAGACGTGAGGTTCGCTGAGCTGAGAACCCTCATTGAGTTTATGTACAAAGGGGAGGTGAACGTGGAGTATTGCCAGTTATCCGCTTTACTGAAGACGGCTGAAAGTCTGAAAGTCAAGGGTGAGTATTTCGGTATCATGCTATTGTCTCTTTCAGTTGAGAGAGTTTTTTCCCAACACAAACCGTTATTTTAACACCACGACACGTGTTTAGATCACTTCCTTTTCCAATGACTACAGAAAAACGACTCCCGCGATAGCACATGGCAAGGCAAAAATATCCGAATTTAGTAATAAAGCCTTCGAAGTTTCGGATGATAAAATTCAGTTTAACGTTGCTTCAAGAGAAATATGATCACTTGGTGATCGAAACACGTGTCGAAGTGGTTTGGTGTTGGGAATAAACTCCAGTAATATTTAGTTGTTGATAATTCATTTTCTTTGCAGAACACTGGAAACGATTTGAAAATAATTCAAAACGTTTGCAAGAAATAAGTGTTTCCTTAAATGCTACATTCATTTCTTCATGTTCTTGGGACAAAATATAGTTTGATAGCATATTTAGAGGTGATCAAGCCTGAAGACGCTACTGTACAACTTTTTCAGGCTTGTCCACCTAATTCAGGCATTAGCTGCGCAGCTAATGCAGCGCAGAAAGTTGAAATAAAACTACCAGGCACCAGTGCAACGTCTTCCGTTTGAAAGATTCGTCCTATTTATGAGAAGCTGGAATTAATAACATTTCCACGGGATGACTACTGACAGTCCGGTTCCGGAGTACTAGCTCCGAGTGGGCCATTTCAAACTGAGTGAACCGTCTGAATATCCCGAACAAAAAAAATCAATTTCAATTGGTCATAAGCTCTGCCTGCAGTCTTTGTCGAATGGAACTTGTAGCACCAGACGTTTTGTTAGTGTGGCATTCATCTTCAGTGGCTGAGTGTGAGGTACGAAAGTCTCTCGAAGCCTCAGCAACGACTGACTGGGGAGCTTCGTGTTAACTCGTATTAATACTTTTAAGCGGTGGGGATGAGGTGTCCATGGGATTGCTCAGTCCTGATTGGTTTGCATTTGTTCTAGGTTACTCTAGTTGGTCTACGTTGTTGACCGGTGATGAAATGTCAATCGGAGTTGTATTTCAGTCAATGTATGGCCTTCTCAAGTACTGGATACCATTATTTGCGTGCTCAACACCACGATATTGAAAAAAGTTTCAATATCACCCTCATTTTCGATCGACTATAACGATTTTTTTTTGCCGACACTATTAACCATAAACCAAACGTGGCATAGCTGAGAGCGTGGGAATATCGAATGTTACCTGCCACTCGAGAAGCAGCAAGAAACATGCTACCGATGTCGATGGAACTTCGGCGAAAATTCTACGATGTTCCATAGCGATATTTAAACGCTATTTTAGTTGAAGTGTTTGTTGTATTCAAAGTGAAATAAAGTAGAGTTCGATTATACAGTGTAGTCACCCGTGGTGAACCCACGGGTAAAAACGCAACAGTAGGGTCGCAATTCACCCGTTCTAATGTTTATTCAGCGACCCTTGTGCTATTGAGTTCAGGTCTTTTGGCACTAGTCTAGCAGCTACGCGTTCAATAACTAAAAAATCGTTTTGGATAGTAAGAACTGAATCGTGAGACGTACAAATTTCAGCGGCTATCTTTCTCAGACTGAAACGATGATTTTCAGTCACCATGTTCTTTACTTCAGCGATGTCATGTTCAGCTGAAAATGTTGCTGGCCGACCCGAGCGAGACAAATCTTCCACCATTTCTCGAACCGTTTCGTGAATGTACTGCACTATTCATGCGTACATTTTTTTTATAAAGTCGATTCAGAGCTTAATAGGTGTCCTACACGGTAACTGGTCCCTCGTCGTAATTACTCTAAAGCTGGGGCCGCATTGCAGGAAGGTTGGTAGGATGGTGGATGGTAGATAGCTGCCTAGCGAACCTTCTGCTATTTATAAACGTGAGTAACAGAACGACGGTAGCCGCAGTGGCGATTCACCGCCAGTTTTTTGCAATATTGTCAGCGCTACGGCACACGAAATTCCATTGGCAATGCAATATTTAAGATAAATTATTTGATCGATTTTTATTTCCAGCGAACGTTGTTGCATGCTTCAGCTCAGTTCGCGGAATGATACTCTAACGGAATTCGATTTTCAATTATCGGAAATCATCGACTTTAAGTTGATGATATACACTACCTTGCACTGACGAGTGGCCAAACAGCCCGAAACCGGTTTGCAAGTGTGTTCCAATAATTGAAAATCTATTGCGGCAGTTGTATCGCCAATAGCATATGCAGGAATAACTTCTGTGAAGAATCCTGCACTGACACCTGTCGGATATAATCCAACGCCCTTCGTGGTATAAGCCAGGGGAGTAGTTGTTTTCTGATATTAACTGTGTAGAGAGTTGAGACTGGCCTGAACGAATTGTTCTTAGATAATTTGATTTATAGCCAGTCTTCAAGTATACCCACTGACTATATGTAAGTGAATAATTTAAATCGACCATTTTAAAAATTGAGATTTGGGAGTGTTGTACTTGGGCTGGTTAAGTTTTACTTTATTGTAATATAATTTCATGTGGAACTGAAATAACAACTTGTTTCAGTTATTGATTATAATTGTGAACTCTTATTCTTCGGAATTTCAAGAGGCTTCTGACCTGCAGCCACATATATCGATTTTGATTTGGATTGTTCCACTAAGTGTTTGAATCTCATTGTTCCAGAGTCTGAAAAAAGAAGTTGATTGGGGAGGAGGAGGAGGAAGTGAAGAAGCAAAACCTCTCGGAGATAGCGCCTCTGATTACAGCCGCAATCCTCAAGATTCCGTAAGTTTTACTCACCTTTTTTATGTGATTAAATCTGTCGATACTTGATGAAAATCCAATTAAAAAAACCCTTATTGTGAGATTTTCATTAAATACTTTCACAAGAACGCAACACATGTTCTTTATACAAAAAACGCAACACGAGTTTCTCTATACAAAATCACAACACGTGTTTCTCTATACAAAAACCCAACACGTGGTTCTCTACAAAAACGCAACACGTGTTTCTTTGTACGAAAACGAAACACGTTGTTCTCTATGCCAAATCGCAACACGTGTTTCTCTATACAAAAACCCAACGCGTGTTTTCCTACACTGCTATACAATAACTTCTCCAGACGTGTCTTCACCCGCCTAAAGGAGCTATTGCTTGCATAGACGCATTGAGTAAAGGCACGCCTACCGAATCTATTACATAGCGAAACACGTGTTGCGTTTTTGTAAAATTATTTAGTGAAAATCTCACAATGAAGAGTTCCTTTGAACATGTTCATTCAATTTTCATTATGACGTCTCAACAACCACCGTCAAGATATATCTCGGAAGACATAAGTTTCACCCCTATATACTGTAGTTGGTTCAAACCGATTCCGGAACCTACCTCCACCACTTCTAACCTTGTAACGACCTCTACTTACGTCGCAAGATGTAGTCGAAGTGACTTCCAGGAAGTGTCTTGAGTCTGACCTTGAACGGCTTACGTTAGACGATGCAAGCAAGGTGACTTTGAGGAAGTGTTGTGGATTTAACCTTGAATGATTTTCATTCACTCCCGTTATTTTTGAACAAGCGACTTTTACCGCCAGATAGGCGGTTATCTCCAAGTTTTGAACCTACATGACGCAACATAGCCAAGGTGACTTTGAGGACCTTGAACCGACCTTGAACTACGTCATACGACGGAGACAAGATGCCTTTGAAATCTAGACAAGTTTTGAGTAGCCGAATCTCTGGAGCTGATGATCGGTCTAAGCGGAACGTCCTTCTTGGGTAGTCCATACAAGTGAGGGGGCTTACTGTGGTGCTGTGGTGCTGCAGTAATTATCTCCAAAGTGGGCACAGATGTTGGCGTAATGGCGAAATTTAGGCCTTTCCTCAATAAGGATTCCTCTATTCTCGTGAGCGAGCGGGAAGTCATGTTGATGACGTTGGTGGCTTCATAGTTGTCCTCTTTTCGGTCTATATTTGGGCATTGTTTTCTCACTAACTTTCCCCACTTTCTGTTGTGGGTAGTGGGATCGACACTAAGTGGGAAACATCTGTATACCGAAAACCCACTCATACGGGACAGTATCTGAACCACGAATCCAACCACAATCAATCGATTAAAATAGGAATCACTGAGACTCTATTAGACTGTGCTTTTGGGCTCAGAACTAGTGAAATTCATCATGAAACATTGTCAGTCACCTTCAAACAATACACATTTTATTTTGACCCAGGCGTGTAGCCAATGTAGTGTTCCACTAGGACTTCATAGTGTGCCGTCAAGAAGTTGACAATCATTTTGGCTATGATAATTTCCTCCGCTTCAGTAGTTTTCGAATTCTCTGTACGTTCGCGTCGAAGCAGAGAAAATCCAAAATTTTCTTTGGTGGCACACATATCTTTGCTCACTACAGCCAAACAAAATGAACGTCAACTTCTTGTGACGGCCACTAGCACTTTATTTCCTATCCGAAACGAACGCCGAGAAGTTGATGTTCTTTTGTTTGGTTACAGGGGCTGGATAACAACGTCAGAGAAGACTCGCCACGCATGTTTCAGTGCATGTACTGCGGAAACGCCTTCCCGCACCAGAGCAAACTCACTCGCCATATTTTGTCGCATAGCTTAGAAACGTTAAAGTACCGAGAGCAGAGGCCCCACGCCACCTCGTTGACCATACCTGAGCCTATCAGTTTCATGGATTTCAGCGGACGGTTGTCGATGAATCCGCACGAACCGCCCGACCCGACGGACCAGCCCCCCACCCCCATGGATCTCGACATCAAGGAGGCAGCAGCGGCGGCGCTCGGGAGCGGAACCAGCGGCGTGGTGCTTTGTAAGTTTTGCGGCAAGTCCTTCCCCGACGTGAGCTCGCTCATCACGCATTTGCCTGTGCATACGGGGGATCGGCCGTTTAAGTGCGAATTTTGCGGCAAGGCGTTCAAACTGCGCCACCATATGAAGGACCACTGCCGGGTACACACCGGCGAAAGGCCCTTCAGGTGTGGCTTGTGCGGGAAAAATTTTTCGCGATCCACCATCTTGAAGGCTCATGAAAAAACTCACTATCCAAAGTATGTCCGTAAGTTCCTTTCACCCAGTCCGCTGGATACGGAAGAAGAAAATCCGCATTAGAATGCCTATATCAGTGTCAGTTTTATGATTATATCACCATCTCCACGTAGATTTTCCTATTTTGAAGTTAAATTCTTCTCCTGGATTGAATCTGTTGTCAATGTGGAAAAGAGTATTCGGTTTATTGATTGTTCGTCTGAAAGGTTGGTAAAATTCGTTTTATATTTGAACAAATTAAAATGTTTCAATGAACAAGCTCTGGTGAAATAATCAGTCCTTAATTAGATACTAGTTCCTACGATTCAAATTGAAATATTATACGAGTACAAAGCACTATTTAAGTAGAATTCTACCAGAAAGACATCCACGCTTTTTCCAAAAATCAATTGATTTTCAAGAATACTTCGAGTAACTGCTGTTATTCAATTCTCACCACCGTTTTTCGATAATTTCTCTTTTAAACGTTAAAATATTTTCAAAACCGCTGAAAATATTTCAAATTAAGGCGCATTTTCCAGCAGTTTTGATAAATGAGAGGAGGCAAATTCAGCAAAAAAAATAACCTTCAGATACAAAACTCACCCTTCCAGAGATCTCTCAATTTATTGAGAGATTTTCACTAAACAGTTTTATAAAAATGGAACACGTGTTCTATATAGATACATTATTGTATAGCGAAACATATTTTGCGTTGCGCTATACAGCAGGGTGTCTATAACAACGCTATTGTATAGCAAAAGACCTGTTGCCTTGCGCTGTACAATAACTTTTCAGACGTGTCTATAGACAAGCTATTGTGTAGCGAAACACGTGTTATGCTGCGCTATATAACAACTTTTTCAGACGTGTCTATAGAGACGCTAGTTTATAGCGAAAAAATGTTGCGTTGCGCTATACAATAGCGGCATGTTTGTATACACATCATTTCATAGCGAAACATATGTTGCGTTGCGCTATTCAGCAGCGTGTCTATAAAGACGCTATTATATACCAAAACAACTGTTTCATTGCTATTCACAATAGCTTTCTTAGACGTATCTATTGTACAGAAAATGACGTTTTGTGTTATGCTATGCAATAGCTCCTTCAGGCGTGTCTATAGACACGTTATTGCATAGCGAAACATATGTTGCGTTGCGCTATACAACAGCGTATCTATAAACATCATGTTGTGTTGCGCCATACAATAGCTTCTTCAGGCGTGTCTATAGACACGCTATTGTATAGCGAAACACGTGAGGTGTGCACTTTACAATAGCAGCTTCAGGCGTGTGTATAGACACGTGATTGTATAGCGAAACATATGTTGCGTTGCGCTATACAGCAGCGTGTCTATAACAACGCTATTGTATAGCGAAATACCTGTTGTGTTGTGCTATACAATAACTTCTTCAGGCGTATCTATAGCGTGTAGCATGTCTATAAACACGCTATTTTATAGCGGAACACGTGTTGTGTTGCGCTATACAATAGCTGCCTCAGGCGTGCCTATAGACACGTTATTGTATAGTGAAACATATATGTTGCGCTGCGCTATATAGTAGCGTGTCTAAAACAACGTTATTGTATAGCGAAAGACCTGCTGTATTGCGCTATACGATAGCTGCTTCAGGCGTATCTATAACGTGTAGCGTATCTATAAACACGCTAATGTATAGCGAAACACGTGTTGTGTTGCGCTATACAATAGCTTCTCCAGGCATGTCTATAGACGTGCCATTGTAGAGCAAAACACGTGTTGCGTTTTTGTGAAACTATTCAGTAAAAGTTTCACAATGAAGTGTTTCTAGAATTCCAACATTGATGTCTGTGTGAACATCAAAATACTTCCAATAAGAAGAATTGTAGTTCATGATAATCATAATTCATAATTCCATCCCATTTATGTTGATCAAAGTATATGTGAAAAATCTAAAGCCTATCTAGTTCAACACCAAAGTTGATTGCATAATTGTTCCCATCAGAAACTTGATACAATTGACCAAAAGTGAATTGAAGACCATCGATGTCCTTCATACTGAATTGTGTCGCTTTTAGAACATCCACCCCGTATATCTCCAAAAAGCAATACCGTTGTGCAAATTCCCGCTTTTTGTTTCTGATAAAAGGGTTCATAGCTGTTGCGTAAAAGCAATCAATGTTACTCAATTCTGGTCAGGCGATCCTGAATGTAAAATTCTAGCTACTTTGATTTTTTTGGAGACGTGAGAGCTGTGATAGTATTTTTATCTTTTTTGTTAATTTGAGTGGTACTTTACTAAAGAGTAGCATTTCGGGTTGATTTCACCGGACCGTAAACTATTTCTATTTTATACGTTAAAATATCATCACAACCGATGAAAATCAGAGTGTCCCTTTTCAGCAGTTTTGATAAATGAGCGGAGGTCATAAAAATAACCTTCAGACACGAAACTTACCCTCCCAGAGAATCCTCAATTTATTGAGAGATTTTCACTTAACAGTTTTTAAAAACCGGAACACGGGATTGGCTATACAATAGCTTTTTCAGGCGTGTCTATAGACACGCTATTGTATAGCGAAACACGTGTTGTGTTACGTTGTTGTACAATAGCATTTACAGACGTGTCTATAGAAACGCTACTGCATAGCGAAACATATGTTACATTGCGCTATACAATAGCTTCTCAGATGTGTCTATAGAGACGCTATTGAATATCGAAACATATGTTGCGTTGCGCTATACAAGACCGTATCTA